TGGCCCCTGGGCGGGGAATTCCGGGAACTCCGGGTTGCGGTTGTGTCCACCGGTGCCGCGGCGGCCTCATCCCGCTCCGGAGCGCCCGGGAAGCAGCGCCCGGACGCGGCTCTTCCCGGGAACCGCAGGCGTCAAGGTCACCCCGGCCCGGAGCCGCCTTCCCTGTTTTTGTAGGAAGGGCTCCGGAGCGCCCGGGAAGCAGCGCCCGGACGCGGCTCTTCCCGGGAACCGCAGGCGTCAAGGTCACCCCGGCCCGGAGCCGCCTTCCCTGTTTTTGTAGGAAGGGGGGAAAAAAACCCAAAGCAGCTTAAAAACCCCCATCCCAACAGCAGGAGCCTCCGTCCTGATCCGACTCTCGGGAGCGGCAGTGTGGGAGAGGGAAGGAATGATGGGAAACTCGTGGGAATGATGGAGCCGGGGCCATCCCAACGATGGGAAACTCGTGGGAATGATGGAGCCGGGGCCATCCCAACGATGGGAAACTCGTGGGAATGATGGAGCTGGGGAGCGACCTTGGCATTTTGTGCCCTTCTTCCCATGGGCTTCGCTCCCAGGGGATTCCGGGATATTTGAGGGATTCACGGAGCATTTCCGCATGGCAACGGCTGGAAATGGCCTTTGCTTGTTGGCGAGCTGCTTCCACAGGAGCTGGGATCTTCCCTGCTCCGGGCTTTTATTTGGAAAGAAGGTCGGGAAGAAAACGTCCCTTCGGGGTAGGTTATTCCCTATCTCGCTCCTTCCCACCTCGCATCCCAAAAGTGCCGTCGCTGGAGGCCGGATAAACCAGATCTGCTGGTCCGGGCTGGCGCGCGCTTCCCGTTAATGATTATCCCGCCGGATTGCGGGAGCCGCCTGGAAAATGGCTGGGAGCTCGTGGGGCTTTTGCCGGCGCCGCTTCCCGACGGATGACGCTTTCCCGGGACACCAGGAGCTTTCGGGAGCCCCCAAATCGGCCTCTCTTGTGTCCACCCGGCCCAGCTGTCCCAGAGCTCCTTCCCGTCAGGAATTGCAAAAATTTCCAGCACCCAGGCCATTAGGAATACAGGGAATGGAGCCTGCGACGCCATTAAATAACCAGGGCTGCTGCTGTGTTCATTGTGTTAATTATTTTTTTTTCCCGTCCATTTAATTAAAAATCTTAATTTAAACGGAGCTCCGGCAGAATCCCCGGCCTGCCGCAGCCGGGTTGCTTTGGGACTCCAGGGATTTCCATGCAGTTTCCTGCTTGGAAGTCCAAAAAGGGCCGTTGTGTGTTCTAGGAAGGGAAAAGACGGGAGGATAAATCCGTGTCCTGTGGAATGGGGGGTTTAACCGCAAAGTGAGGCCAAAAATGGGGAGAAATGCCTCTTTTTCCCCCTTTTTCTTTATGTTTTCCAGCAAATCCCCAGCTGGAAGCGGCCTCTCCGCACAAGCTTAGGAGCAGACCCGTAATTACGAGTTTTCCCGATGCGTCATCCCTGTGCAATCGAATAGCTCGGGAGCAGCTCCCGGGTTTGTCCCCGCGCCCGGCATTCCCGGGGCTCTCCGTCCCGTGCGGATCCCGGCGGGATGCGGGAGAGGGCGGCCGCTCCGGCCGGAGCCGCCGGGATTTCTCCGGATGAGGATGCGCAGCCCTCGCGGCCCTTCCCAGCTTTCGGAAGCTCGGGAGCCGTGGAGCTATTCCAAGGAGAAGCGGGGATGCAGCCGGGCAGATGCGTTTTCCCTCCGCCTTGTGCCGGCGAGGGGGCAGGGGAGGAAGCGGGATCATTTTTAGCTGAAATTCCTTCCTTCCTTCCTTCCTTCCTGGCCCCGGAATACCAGGAGGCAGCGCCAGGCCCTCCCTGCAGGCTGGGAAAGGGCCCTCGGGAAGCGGAATGCGCATCGGGAAGCGCCGGATCATCCTAGGATTGCTGCAGCAGCTCGAGGCATCCCGCCCCAGCACTGCCTCCCAAGCTTCTTTTTTCCATATATTTTTCCATATTTTTTTTCCCTCTTTTTTCTTGGTTTTAACCACAGCTTTTTTTCCCCGCAAGCAGCTCCGTGCCGGCCCGGTTTGCCTCCCCGCTTCCCAAGGAGCACGTCTGCTGGGAAAACATTCCCTCTTCCCAAGAGACGGGATTGCAGGGAGCAACCCTTGGGACAAATCCCAAATCCCGGTGTCTCTCCCGGAGCGTTTGCAAAGCCCTGGCTGGAGCCTGACCCACTTGGAGGGGTTGATCCTATTTCTCTCCTAATCTTTTAATTGTGGATTTCGTGGCGCTCCGGCTCCCGAGGCCGCGGCCTTTTCCATAGGTGTGTGCAGGAGCATTCCCAAAAGAGGCCGGGAATGTCCCCCCGGAGCCGCCGCTCCGTTTGCTCCGTGGCCGTCGGAAAAGGGGGTTAATCCACAGCAAGGGGGAAGGGACCTTTGTAATGGACAGGAATTCTGCTTTTCCAAAGTATTTCTGAGCAAAAAAAAAGGAATCGCCGTGATTGAACTAAAAATAAATCAGGGAAAAGAACCGCAAAGCAGAAAGCGGAATTCCCATGGATTCCGTGGAGCAGAGGGCACCCGTCGGGATGATGTGGATGCCTCCAAGTCATCTTTACGGATGCCCTTCTGGATTCCCCTTCCTGGAAGTTGGCAGCGCTCCGATTGCTCTGAGACCTGATGAGTCAAGGGCCGCTGCCGGATTCGGCCTTCGGTTCCCAAGGAATTCCGAGCCCCGGAGCCTGAGGGAGTCTGGAATCACTTTTAGGAGCCCTTGGAGCCGTGTCCTCCCACTTCACGGGGTCTCTTCCCGAC